TGGGTTTAGGGCTTAGGGTTTAGGGTTAGTTTAGAGTTTAGGGTGTAGGGTTTGGGGCTTAGGGTTTAGGGGTTGAGGGTTTAAGGCTTAGGGTTTAGGGTGTAGGGTTTAGGGCTTAGGGCTTAGGGTTCACGGTTTAGGGTTTAGGGTTTAGGGTTTAGGGTTTAGGGTGCAGGGTGTAGGGTTTAGGGTTTAGGGCGTGAGGGGTGTTCGGGTGTCGAAGTGTAGATCTTGGGGTTTAGGGTGTTCGGGTTTAGGGCTTCGGGTTTAGAGTCGAGGTTGTTCGGATCTTACAGGGTGTTGGGTTTTAGGGCTTGTAGGGAGTCATTGGACTTCTTTGTATGTTGCTTGGCTAAGGTGCGGTCTCGTGGCTCCAACTTTCGGCTGTAGCATGTTTTGGGATTTTAGGGTGTTTGGGGCTCAGTGTTTGGAGGGATTCCGGCGACCCTTACACCGAAACTCACTCACTCACTCACTCGCGACATGGTAGATCCAGAGCGAAAGTCATGCAGAGCCCAAAAGCGAGGCCGCTATGGCCAGCGCAGGCAAACCTCAACACAACGTGAAACGGAAAAGAGCCCCCTACAAGCGGCCCGAGGAGCCCCGTACGAAAAACCAACGAAGGACGAAGGGTAGTCACACGGGGCGACGGATCACCACCGGAGGATCCGAGGAGACGCGACAGATCGGGCAACCATCCAGCCAAGGCCAGGCTAGGATGGGCCGCCACAAAGATGCGCTCAGACGCCAGGCTAAAGAAGCGGAAGGAGGCGGCGGGGAGTAGCGAGCGCAAGAGCAAGAGGCCAATGCGGCTCGGAAATCCACGCAACCAGAGAGCGGAGCCCCGCTGTACACAGACACAGACGTGCCGGAATGAAATCGACGCTGCCAGAAGATCCAGAATCTGGAGTGGTGGACCAGTCTCGGAAGGTGTTTGATCCGCCAGGGCACAGCGGAGTGGCGCAAGCCCGGCACGGGAACCGAAATCCCATGGTCTGTCCAGATGGACCGTGTGCCAAAACTTCCACAGGCGGTGCCACTGCGACGTACAAACCATGAGTCGGGCGCAGACAGACAGGAAAGGCCTGACAGGAGCGTGAACCAGCGCGCAGGCCGGTGTAGCTGCGGGGGGGAGCAAGGCCCCGCTGAGGTTGGCGGGCCATGTTGATCCACAGTTTGGCTAATCTCGAGGTGGCCGCTGGCGCCTTCAGCGGACGACCAACATGTGCGTCCTCACCGAGGCGAGAGAGGTTGAGGGGCCCAACGAGCTCCTCGGCGTCGCGGGAAGCGTCCGGTGCGCGCTGCGCCGGGCTCGCCTGGGCATCTGCCCAGTCATAAACAGAGGAAGCTCCCGTGGTCTGCCGTGGTCTGGGACAACTCGATTTGAAGTTCGGCAGCCGAGCATTCACGCGCTTCAGCGGCTGCCCTACGCTGGGCCTTGGTGGCATTGATGGGCCCAGGTAGGCGAACTTGAGGCAAGCCTCGGTGTCCGCGACAGCCAGATCGTTTAGAGCCCGAACCGTATATGTAAGACTCCCCCACAACAACGCGAAGACCATGGACGCAGCCCGGAGAGACCTTCAAGTGGTATTTGAGCCGGTCTGTGGAATGTTGCTCAGTATGACACCAGAGACATACAGTCCCACAGGTGTAACGAGTCAGCACATTAACAACCGAATGCTTTCGGTGGATATGGGCGGCAAGCGCTTGCCGACTTGCAAGCCATACCTGGCAGAGCGAGCATTGCAGAGGGACAACAGGTCCGATCACCGTTCGGGCCCGCGGGGCTTCGATATCTTTCCATAGTTGGCAAAAGGAAGCATAGGGCGTGCCGTATCGGCTGAGGTGTCGGCATGCAGCTAGCAACTGCTTGGTGTGCCCTCGTAGGAGGGCTAAAGTGACAGCGGTACGTGGGTGCTGACCTGGAATGCTGCCAACGACCTGCTGGCAAGCGTCAACAAGAAGTTGGCACCAGTCAGTGGCACGATTCCATGCTGCGTCAAAGATCTCATAAACCCGTGCTGGTCCCTTTGTGAGAAGCTGCAGCACTAACCGCACTCTGGCGAGGCAGACCGCATGTTCGGGCGACGATAAACCAATCAGCAGCAAAATGCCAAGCGCTCGAAGAACCCCATCAGTGGGGCCGTAGCCCTGGCGGACACTGCGACAGTTGTAGCAAGAGTGGCATACGCAGCTGGTAAGACTCGGCCAGAGACCCAAGCTTGTTTAAGGCGCCACGGTAGGGAGGGGCTTGCAAGGAGGCTCTTAGCATGGGACAGCACACATTCAGTTGAGCGCATAGCTCATAGTCGTGCCGTCCGTTGTCCCGCGGTACTTGAACGGACCTAAGTAGCGGTATTCCGCCGAAAGGCGCAAAATGTGGCCGGTCCGAAGATGGAGACACGAATCGCCTGTAAAGAGGTCGCCTCGCACCTTTTTGGCAGACGGGCCACGGATATCAAGCATAGCCTCAAGCGCCCGATGGGGGCCATGGCAGCGCAATGGGTCTCGGGGTCGAAGTACTGGTGCAGGTGCGTGAGGCTCCCCAACGGAGAGGTGACCTCGGTGCCCCGGGCCGGGATGGATCCATTCCTGACCTCGACCAGCACAGCCTGGTACAAACACGCACCCTCACTGCCATGATGGGCCAACAGAGTCGCACTCGTGCGGCCTTACAAGGGCTAAACTACAGGCTCAGCAACATGGGCGGTGGGTGCACGACCAAGAGAGCACGGGAGCTGCTGCGGAGATTGGTGGCCCAGTACCACATCGGATCCGAGACGAGATCTAGGGTACACGAGATGGTCCTTGATGCTGAGGCGACACTAGCTGGTCATGTTGACGATTCGCTGCTGGAAGATGAGTGCACCGATGAAGATCGAAACTTCATCGACGGGTGGTGGGCAGACCTCAATGCCGCCCTCAACCATGACGTTAACTCCCGCGAGGTGACGGCCTTCAGATGTATGGGGGCACGAGAGACTCAAGAGATCGAACACGACATGGAGGAGTCTCTGATGCAGGAGCTGGCAAGAGAAGAATGGGAGGAACACGAAGCGGCGCGAGCCCAGCAGAGCCTTGCGACTACGGATGACATCCCGGCTGCCCAATACAGGTCCTGGGAGGACTGGGCAATGTTCGATGAAATGAACAAGCCGATGCCGACCAAGAGGCGACGTCGCACAGTGGACATGACCGTCGAGAGTGGGAGCCAGGGGGCCTCTTCGTCTACATCGCAAGCGACGGCATCGTGCACACTGGATTGGGAGGAGGGAGAAGAAATCAGGATCAGCCTCCGAGTCAGACCACAGCTGGCACGAGCTGAAACTGGGGCCACCGGTGCGTCTCCGGCAGGGGGGGCATTGAAGCCTCAGGAAGCTGACAGCGATGCGTCCACGCTTCTTCTACCAGAGCAAGCGCAACGAAACGACAGACCAGCCGAAACGGGTGGTGTGGCCGACTTCTCTGCAACCAATGATGCTGAACCGGAGCCGGCAAGGGCGGGGGCGGGAGGCTTCGGGGCGGACAGTGAGGCTTCCACCCTCATCCTGCTGGGTCATGGGCTGGATGGGATCGGTGAAGGGCCTGCTGAGCAAGCGGTGGACGACACACGGGTGCCCCAAGAGGTGAACATGGGACCTGGAGCCCCGGCTCAGGACACACCGTCTGACGACACTTCATGCCAACGTGGAGACCTACCGGCGACGACTCCCGGGGGACAAGCAATGGGGGACACTGCTTCGACGATGCCTTGGGGAGATGGTGGCACAGGCTGGAGCTTGCCGAGGTTGACGCCTACGCGGAGCAGCTGAGGCTGGAATTTGCAGCGCAGGAAGAGGAGGACGAGGCGGAAAGTCGAGCTCGCCAGAAGACGGCATGGGAAGCTATGCTAGTGCAGAATGCCGAGCGGATCTTCTTCGAAACGGTCGACCAGGATGTGCAACGGCTAACGTCCAGGAGTTCGGAGTGATGTGTGGGGTGCGGTGTGGCTTTGCAAGCGTTCTTGAGGAACAGAGGGAGAGTGAAGGTCGGGCAAAGCTACATGGAGGAAAACTCGAACGGCAGTGTGGTGATGAGTGATGCGTGTCAAAGGTAACGGCCTAGTCGACGGACTTTTCCTGTCTGCAGCTGGAAAAAGGGCCCGGTTAAAAAACAAAACCCTAAACCCTAAACCCTAAAGCCCCAAACCCCGAGCCCAGAAACCCAGAGTTTCGGTTTCTTAGCAGCTCATGAGCAACGAGACAGAATCACAGCCGGGGTTGCTTGGGCCGTACCCAGCCCGTTCTAGGATTCTAGGGTTCCTCGACTTAGGGGACATCCGGCAATGATCTACAGGATTTCTGGACCGACAATGGCTGGAACAATTGGAGCACACCCTAAACCCGAAATCCTGAACCCTAAACCCTAAACCCTAAACCCTAAACCCTAAACCTTGAACCCCAAACCCTAAGCCCTAAACGAAAGGAGTGAGCCTTTGGACCTCATGCGGAGAAAGAGGCTAGTGCATTTAAAAAAAACCCTA